GTTGGAAGAGACCTTAAAGCTCATCTGATGTGCAGGGACACCTTCCACTGTCCCAGGCTGCTCCAAGCCCCATCCAGCCTGGCCTTGGGCACTTCCAGGGATCCAGGGGCAGCCACAGCTGCTCTGGGCAGTGCCAAGGCCTCCCCACCCCCACAGGGAGGAATTCCTTCCCAATATCCCACCTAAACCCGCCCTCCTTTGGCTTAAAACCATTCTCCCTTGTCCTGTCATTCCCTGCCCTTGTGAGAAGTCCCCCCAGCCTTCCTGTAGCCCCTTCAGGTACTGGAAGGAAAAGGCAGAGAAGGAGTTGTCACTTTGAGGAGCACAAAGAGGGACGTTGTGCATTGCCTGTCCCACAACAGCATTGGTGATGCCCCAGTGTGGAACCAAACCCCACTGCAGGTCCCTCCCAGCCATCCAGGCCAGCTGTGGCACAGCTTCTGCCTGGCACAGCCCTGCTTTCCCTCCGGGCCCAAGGTGGAGCATCCTCTAGAACCCAGGTCCTCTCGCTCCACTCCTGGCAGGCAGCAGTCTGTGCTGGGGCTGAGCTGGCCTGGAAGGGCTCTCCCTGACCTGCAGGGACACAGGGAGGGCAGCTCAGCCTCCTGCTGACCAGGCAAGCTGACATTCCAGAGTCTCAGAGCACCAGGCTTTGCTATTTTCTGCCCTCCTCTGTGGCCCCCAGCATGGGTGGCCATTTCAGAGATGGAGTTCCATCCCCCGGCTGCCCTTACTCCCCAGCAGGATCAGGCAGCTGGGGCACTGCAGTCCCACAGAACCTGTCTCTGCTCAGGCAGGGTGGCAGCAGCATTCTGAGGCTCAGCCCCTGCCCTTTCCCCCTGAGCCAGCAGCTCAGGCTGCAGCTCTGCCATGGCAGCTGCTGCCTTCCCCAGCCTGTGGCACACACGCTCCAGAATCCTGACTCCACGTATTATTTGCCTACAAAGCATCCCAGAAATGTTTCGTTTGACCTTTCATCTCTTTAGTGGATGGAAATTACACTCAGGAAGGTTCACAGCCTCTCACTGGTGGTGCAGGGCCAGGCTTTAGCAGCAGCTTCATGTGCTGGGACAGCGCCTCTGACACCACAGCCCTGCAATTCCAAACACGCTCCTATCGGGGCTCTTTGGGGCTGTTATCACTCAGGGCTCTGCAGTCACCTGCCATCACCTGCCACATGTCCCTCTGCACAGTCCTGCAGAGCCTGCCTGGCCCTGCTCCTGCTGCCATCCCCTCGGGGCTGCAGCTCCCCACAGCTGAGCTTCAGGGTGACAGAGATTCCTGCAGTCCCTCTGAGCCCTTCCCCAGGGATTTCATGGTGTCATTGCAGGACACATTACACCCAGGAGAGACAATCTTTTCCTTCAGTACAAGCAGAGGAAGGTTTAAACAATAACACAGTTTCTTCACTGCACTATCCAAAAACGTCTCCAAGCAGGAAGAGAAATGCCCAAAGGCCCCAGTGAGGTCCCCTGGACAGCACACATCCAAATCTGTGAGGCTGTGGGCCTGGAAGCTGCCCTGTGGCCCCTTGGCTCACACTTGGCTTTCAGACCTACCTGGAATTCTCACCCGAGACATCTCAGCAGCGTTTGCAGAGCCTCAGTAACACCCCAGAGTCCCCGAGCACAAGGGGCCAAGTGACTGCCTGGCAGCACAACACTAATTTTACTGCTTTCCCTTCCCTGTAATCAGACTCTCCCACTCTAAAAGGAGAGTGGAGATCAACTGTGGGACTATTTAAAGTGCAGCCACAAGCACTTGCACTGAAACAGGTGAAAGCAGGGCTCAAATTTAATTAAATTATATTTAATTTAACTAATCAAATTTAATTAATCATTTTATCGAACTCAGGTTTGCATTTTACATTTTGTGAAGTGTCACCTGGTGTCTGGCCAGATTTCTGCTTTCCAGGGCAGCTGCTCCTTTCTAATGTAGTCTGTGGGATTCAGTCTTTTAAGAGAGACTAAACCTGATGCTTTCTATGCTGAACCAAAGGTTTAAAGGAAATTCCCAGTCAGAACAGGGGCTGTGGATATGTACAAACCATGTGCTCTCACCTGAGCTGTTCAGAGGCTTTTCCTGAGGGAGGGATGTGTTGGAAAGCCTGGATTTTGCCAACAGGGCTGCCCAGATGTCCTCACCTCTTCCCTGCTGAACCCAACAATAAAGGAAGGTGCAGGGAGCCATGGTTTGTTCCTGAGCTTCTCAGGAACTGCCTTTTCCAAGCTTTGTGTCATAATGTTGATCTGATCATCAGTTCTGGACGTGGTGAGCCACAGCCCAGGTGCATCTGAGAGAGAACAGCTCTCAGTCAAAGCCAGGGTGGGTCAGGGAACTCGGCTGGGCTCTGCCAGAGCAGCTCTCAGGCTGGGAGGCACCTCCTGCCTTCATCTGAAGCAGTTTGTTTCCAGCATATTGGCTTTGAGGGCTGTACCCTCCTTCAGGGTGTCCTCAAACCTTCCTCAGGTCTCACCTGCAGCTGGAAATCACCTCTGTGAGAAGAGAAAGGCCAGAATTTGTTGTGTCCTGCCTGCTGCCAGGATAACTCTGAGCTCCTGATTCAGATTCCTGGTGGGAAGTGGTGAAACTGAACAGATCAGGAGATAAAAGAGTTTTGAGGTGAAGTAGAGTCTTTTCCTGTTTGTTTGTGCTTCTATTCTTGGGCATTAAAAACTGCCCTGGAATAGGAGAAAGCCTTTGGGCACAGTCTGGCTCTGGTTTAAAGGGTGGCTTTGGTCAGAGCAGTGAAGGGAACAGAAAAACCATCTGGAACAGAACATTATTTGGAATTATATCCACGGGATTGCTGTGGCACGTTTTGCAGGAGCAGCTATGGAAAGCTCTTGTCCAAGAAGAAGGCTGGAATAGGTGAGAGATCACCTGCACAGACAAAATAAAATACAGAGCTGGAAATAACAAGCCATGGATTTTGTCCTTAGGAGCACAGGAATCCTGTGGCACAGCAGGGAAGTGAGGTGAGACCTGGAGCAGCTTCTCCAGCTGAGATCATTTCCACAGCATCCAGAAACTCTCTGGAAAAGATGTTCCCATTATTTGATGGGCACAACTTCAAAACAAGCTGGGTGGTAATTGAGAAATTCTCCAGAATTTAGGGAATTTTAGCCCCCCCCACCTGCTATTCCCAAAAAATATAATATAATATAATTTTCCTCCCTCCAACTGCTGAGGTGCAGCACCAGGGCAAAGCTGGGATGATGGTACAGCTTTGGTCTCCTTCTCATGCTGATAAAATTTTCAGGTTCTGAATTGTTCTTGCTCTCACCCATCCCCAAGTTTGAGGGTCTCCACACCACATTATTGTTTAACTGTTTCATTCCAGGCCCATAAAATCTGTCTCCTCTTGTTTGCTCTCCCACAAGGACTAAACCAGCCCTTAACCCTCCTTGGGATCTTGGGATTCACATCTGAAACCAAAAATAACCTTTAGGATACAGAGGTCATCTTCCTCAAGAGAATCTTGATGGTCTTTTGATCCCTCAGCTTTTTTAATCACGGGGTGAGCTTGGGTGGGCTCATGGTGGAAATCTGAGTAAAGCCTGGGCATGCTGTGCTAAAGTTAGATCCAGGGCCTGTGCAAACTCCAGGACTGACACACACAGCCTGTCTTCCCACTCTTTTTCAGCTGGAAAGTGACTGATTCACACCCAGAGGCTTTGGAGTGCCTCTAAAGCCCCCACTTTTACCTCTGAGCTGCCCTGGTTCCACCCAGGTCCAGCCAAGGGAGAATGGTTGGACCAGGAATGTGGCAGCTTGGGTTCCTGAGCAGGATCCTCCTGCAGCTTGTGTCCACAGAGGCCATGGGGCAAGCTTTGCTAGAAAATGGTTTAAATTCCTGAAGAGGAGTCTGAACAGGAGGGGAGAAGGTGGATCTCACCAGGGCATCCTGGCTGTGCTGGGCCTTTGGTCAAGCACTGGGGAAACCCTCAGCAGATTCTCCTCTCCTCACCCTGTGGTGATCACACCTCCTCTGAACAGAGACAGAGCTGTGCCAGGATTCCCCTGGGAAGCTGTGAGAAAGCTCAGAGAAAGAATTAAAACAATTATTCTCTCAATCTCTGCACCTGCCAGGCAATCTCTGTTTGTCAGAGATGTTTACAAGCAGGAGTTGTCTCTTCTTGACCAATAGGTGAGAGAAGATTCCTAAAGGCCAATCAGGTCTTAGGTCCACCATTGTTTCTCTAAGAACTGTGGATTTCTGTTAATAAAGTGCCTTTTCATGCCTTCTGAAGATGGAGTTTCTGTGTCACCTTTGTCCCCAGCACCCCTTTGGCAGCACCTTGCTCTCTGCCATCCCCTGCACACCCCAGGCTGCCTCTGCCCCAGGGCACAACCAGAACCTGCCGGGAGCTCTCTGCAGGCCCAGGCACCAAAGCCATTGCAGGGAAACCTTTCAGCAAGCCAAGGAACCCTGGGGCTCTCAGCAGCCACCCAGCTCAGGCTGTGACAGGCTGGAACTGCGTGTCCCTGCTCCTGGGGGTCTGTTTTTAAATTCCTGGCATAAACCCCAGGTTGGACTCCAGCTTTCAGATGCCTGACCTGAGGTCTGAGGAGAAATACCCTTGAAGCACATTTACTGACTGTGTGCTCTCACAAAATTTGCTTTTTGGCAGGAGGGAAGGCAACAGAGAAGTATTTTAGAAGACTGAATCAAGCAATTTAAAAGGCTAACAGAGCATGATTTGGGCACAGCAGTAATTTAATAGCTGGTTTTGCCATTGGAGTATCAAGTAAAGAATTTACTTACATTTTTTTAATGTAAATCAGCATGAGAGACCCCACTGCAAACAGAGATTCAGCAGAAGCAAGGTTAAAACTGGACTGGACCAAGCCTGTGGCAGTCTCAAGGTCACTGCCACTGCTCACTGATGCTCCAGGACAGAATGGAGCAAATCCCACCCCACAGACAAGCAGAGGGCACTGTGATAAACCTCCTGTGACCCACTCGTGGATCCTGTACCCAGAACCCAAAGAAAACAACCAAAGAATTCAAAGTTTATTCTTTAAAAAAGTTATTTAAGAAGCAAAATAATTTACTTCAATCCAAACCAAAAGAGATGCATTATTGAAAGCAAATAATTAAACAAAGTAACAACAAATTAGCCCTTGGGTTAAAAGTCCAGATCCCAACATTTCCCAGCCATCCTGAGGGTTACCACAGGCACACACTCAAGGTTTGGGGTTTTTGAGGAGCACGGACAGGTCAGAATGTGATCCCCCACAGGCCTGAGGCTGCTTGAAATCCAATTCTAAGGCTGAGCTGTACTAAAAATGATGGCAGCTTAAAGATCCTGGTTAAAATCCAAAGTCCAGCAAGGACAAGGACAGAATCTGAGCAAGAGCACGGAGTGAGGACACAGAGAAACAACCACAGGATTCCACTGGCTCCACTGAGCTGTGCTCAGCCACAGCAAGAGAAACATTTCTTCCAGTCATTGGCACTTGGAAGTTCTGAACAAGAGCTTTCCTTCTTTAATATTTACCCATTTTTCATATTTTACCTCCAAAGTTCTTCGTGTCTGTTCTGTCCAGCAAGGGCAGTGAGATCAGCTTGGCACCAGTGCAGAGTTGTGCTGTTCTAAATTACAATATTTGGACCAAAGCTACTAAAGCACCTTTTCCAGGGACCTGTCTTGTGCAAAACCTTCTGTGCTTGTCTTCTAAATAGTTTTCCCCAAAGTTCACAGGGCTTTGTCCTTCCAGTTCTTGGATTCCACCAAACCCAGGGTTCTCTGTGAGGCAGGTGAGAACAAATTACAACCATTCAGTTCACTCCTGACTAGTACAACACCCTGATTTTGTATTTTTTGCTGGATTTGGAACTATACTGATGGACTTGGGAGTATCACCTGTGCAGGTCAGCTCTGCAGCACCCTAAAAACTTAAAAAATCCTAAAAACCATTGTAAAGGTTCAAAGGTGACACAAACACAGACCTGTCCTCACCAGGGCTTCTTCCCTTTTCAGGTTTTATAGAGCCCAAGAGAAAGGGAACAGCAAAGAGCAGCAGATGCATTTTCCAGTCAGTTCCCACACAGGGATGAGAATTCCCAGCCTTTGGAGCTACAGCTGGTACATTTTACTGGCAGCCAGAGCTGAGCAGTGGGGAGCACTGCTGTGATGAACCTCCATCCAAATAATTCTCCAGGTTGACCACACACCCTTCAAACATCAAATCCAGAGGCTTCCAAGGCCACAGGCAGCTGTGCTGTGGCCAGGAAACAAATTCCTGCATTTCCCAAGAACCAAACCCCATCCATGGGCCTGGGTGACACAGTGTCACCATTCAGTGTCCTCACAACCCCACACTGCCCTTCCTGCTGGCCCCACGTGGCCAGATGTGTATCCCAAAGGCTTTTCCTCATTTCCCAGGGGTTTTTATTAACTGGCAGCCCTTGTGCCACACAGCTCTTCAGGAGCAGGGAAGGCTTCCACAGAAAATCCTCCTGCCAAAGCCTTCTGAGCCCTGGCTGTGCAGGGTGGCAGCTCTGCCAGCTTTAACCTGCACTCATGGAATGCTTTGGGCTGCAAGGGGCCCTAAAGCTCATCCCATGGGCAGGGACACTTTCCACTGCCCCAGGCTGCTCCATCCTGGCCTGGGACACTTCCAGGGATGGGGCAGCCACAGCTGCTCTGGGCAACATCAAACAAACAGAACTCGAGCCAATGGTCCCCACAGTTCTGCCCACCACTGTGTGTATGTTGCTGGAAAATAATATTTGATGTTACACTTTTTGTGGGTTTAATTCTTATCAGTCACATCAGTCAAAGTTAAATTGAAAAAAGTATTTATAAGGATTATCACAGATAAAGAAGATGTGATGCAGATTGATCCTCTTCATTCCAAGAAGAGAATTAAGACTGTAAGTAGAGAAGGAAGCAACACTAAAAGGAAAAAATTCTTCTCTCTCTGTTTAGATTTCCAATTCCATTTGAAATTGAGCACTCTAAATTAAGATGTGTGACTGACATCAACAACCTGAAACTGAGCCTCCTGCTCTGCTGCCTGGCACTGACCAAATGCTCCCTCTGTTGGCTGAGGGCTCCTTCCTCCTCCTCCTCCTCCTCCTCCAGGACCCAGCCCAGCAGCACAAGGGCAGGGGAGGGCACAGCACCCCAGGGCACGGGAGGCTCTGCAGCACAGAGCACACCTGGGCACAGGTAACCAGGGGAGGGTGCTCTGTCCTGGGCAGAGCTGGCTCAGCTCACAATTCCCTGGCTCAGAGAGAGCCCAGGATTCCACCAGCCTGTGCCACACCTCCTGAGGAGCCATCACTGAGCTCATTTCCTTCCTCATTTTGCAAGATGCTGCAATCAGAAGCTGGCTCAGGTGCCCGTGGCAGCTCTCAGCCCTCTCCCCTCCATCACAGAACCCCAGGGTGGTTTGGGCAGGAAAGGGCCTTAAAGCTCATCCCATTCAGCCCTGCCATGGCAGGGACACCTCCACTGCCCCAGGCTGCTCCAGCCTGGCCTGGGGCACCTCCAGACACTTCCTGCACCCTGCCAGAGTCAACCCCAACCCCCCCACTGCTTCCCTGACACGGAAACTCCAACTACATTTTACAGTCTAGAGACATTTTGAAGAGACTCTTTACAGTCTGTGGTAAGAAAATAATTCAGAATAAAACAATTTGCAAGTTACAGAGAGAGCTGAATAGCAGCTGTCCAAAGCAACCTCCAGTTACCAGATTAATTAGTGAGAAGCTGCCCAGAAATATTGGCAGTTCATGTTAAAAATGAACAGCTGACAGGTTTGGTCCAACTTGGAAGAGATCTGAATGCTGCAGGAAAACAATACAGAATATAAACTGTTCCACCCACAAAGAAAGTAAAACACAGATGCAGTGTGTCCCCTCCCTTGTCCAAGAGTCTCTCAAGTGCCTGCTGGACCTTCCAGCCTCCAAATTCCTGCTGGAGGATCCTGTCAGGCCCAGGTCACCCACAGCACACTTGCCTGCTTGACACAATGAGCTCCCAAGAAATTCCAGTCCTTGGGGTTTTCCTCAACCCAAGGGACAACTTCAAATCTTCTTAGCAAACAGGCACTTAGTTAGGAAAGGTTTTCCTTTTTATTACAGAAATGGAGGATCAGGTAGGTGGCACTCCTGGCACTGGAGATGTTGCACTTTTGCTGTACAGGTGCACAGAGAGCAGACACCCAGCTGAGAGGGGACAGGGGCACTGCTGGTGGCACAAGCCCGTGTGACACTAACTGTGCCACTCCTCTGACAGCACTGCACGGGATCCAACAGACAGGGGACACACAGCACTTCTAGCTTTTACTCTAGAGGTAAAGTGTCATCTTTTTCACAGCATTTAGTCTCTATAGTTCACTTTTGTGACTGGTTTTCTTCTGGAACAAAGCCAGGTAACACAGTGAGAGAAGAATCCCAGCACGTCCCGAGGTGCTGCTGCTCCTGAGCTGAGCAGGGAGGTAGAGGCCATGGATGTTCTCTTCAGATGGAGCACGGAGAAGGTCCTTGTGCTAATTAACTCTGGTGCCCAGAGCCTGTCCCTGGCACCCAAACACTGCAGGGATCAGCAGGAGAGGCAGCACAGATCGAGGCTCGTCCAGCAGCTGCACCTGAACCAGTTTCCTTGGCATCTGGAAGAGAAAGGCACCTCCAATTAGCACTAATTAGCTCTGTCCCGCTCTGGGATGGATGGGCAGTGCTGCAGTGCAAGGCCTGAGCTGGTCTGGCTGTTTTCATAGTCACAAGCCACATCTTTCAGGGAATGGCTGAGAGGAATCTCCCTCAGCTGGGAACCCAGATTCCATTATTTGCCCCATTTTATTTGGTTAATCCTGGAATCAGCACATTCCAGAGGAACACAGCTCGAGGGGAGCTGTGCAGGAGTCAGTCACTCAGCTGTGCACACCCCTTTTCAAGGTGTTTCTTCAGAAATTACACCTTCTCCAGACAGTCCAAATGGTTTCCCAAAGAAGGAGACAGAAAGGAATGACACAGAAAATCACACCACTGGAATTGGTGCAAATCATGGAATGTTTTGGGTTGGAAGCAACCTTAAAGATCATCTTGTTCCATCCACCCACCAGCCAAAAGGGTGACATGAATGAAAATTCCTTCTCTTAAACTCTGCCACCAACTTAGAGGGGAATTTTTCTTTTTTGAGCATTAAAACATTGTAGGATCCAATTGCAGGATCCATTGCAGAATCCATTGTAGGGTCTATTGTAGGATCCAATTGCAGGATCCATTGTAGGATCCATTGTAGGTTGCAATTGCAGGATCCATTGTAGGATCCAAGTGCAGGATCCATTGTAGGATCCATTGTAGGATTCAATTGCAGGATCCATTGTCGCTTCCATTGTAGGATCCATTGTAGGATCTATTGTAGGTTGCAATTGCAGGATCCATTGTAGGATCCAAGTACAGGATCCATTGTAGGATCCATTATAGAATCTATTGTAGGATCCACTTTTAGGATCCATTGTAGGGTCCATTGTAGGATCCAAGTGTAGGATCCACTGCAGAATCCATTGAAAGATGCAACTGCAGGATCCATTGTAGGCTCCATTGTAGGATCCATTGTAGGATCCAAGTGCAGGATCTGTTGTAGGATCCACTTTTAGGATCCATTGTAGGATCCAATTGTAGAATATAGTGTAGGATTCATTGTAGGTTGCAATTGCAGGATCCATTATAGAATCTATTGTAGGATCCACTTTTAGGATCCATTGTAGGATCCATTGTAGGATCCAATTGTAGAATATAGTGTAGGATTCATTGTAGGTTGCAATTGCAGGATCCATTGTAGAATCCATTGTAGGATCCATTCTAGGATCCACTGTAAGAACCATTGTAGGATCCATTGCAGGATCCAATTGTGGGATCCATTGTAGCATCCATGGTAGGATCCACTGTAAGCTCCACTGCAGGATCCATTGCAGGATCCAATTCTCAGGGAATCAATATGTTCTACAAAAGGGGAAATCCCCCCTACAGCCAGCAGCCTTTCCAAGCACACCCAGCAGGTGCTGGAGGGCAGGGCAGGCAGGGCAGCAGTGGGTTCCAGCTCACCTTCTCACATGACCAGGCAGGACAATCCCATGCAGCCCTGGTTCCCATCCTCGCTGCTGTTGAGCTTCTTCATCCGGTACTGCCGGATCTCCCTCACCAGGGTGTAAAAAGCATCTTCCACACCCTGAATGCAAACACAAGGTCAGGTATTTTCTTCCCTGAAGCTTTTGAAGTCACTGATCTGTCCATCCCAGAACCCCTTAGTGGATTTGAAAGACACAATTGTGCAGGAAGAGCAGCACCCAACTGACCCCATGCTCCCTAAGAGGAGGAATCCCACAGGGATGTCCCAGCCTGACTCCTCCTGGGGTAACAACCACTAAAAAAACATGGAAAACTATCTCAGGGAGCTTCCATGCAGGAAACCAGCTACTCCTTGCCCAATTTTAGAATTCTTGCTATTCAGATCTTGAGGATTTTCTGGCTGCTGCTCAATAATTGCACCTTCCTGCTCTGCTCCCCTGGACAGGCCCACGTGGCCAAGGAGGCTCTGGAGAAGCCCATTAGTCCAGCCTGGGGAACTCTGTCTGCAATCATAATCTGCTAATTGGCTTTCATTAAGGAGCCAAGAGAAGCCAGCAGGTCTGGGGTGAGCGAGCTCAGCCTCTGACAGGCCCCAGGGAGAGCAGCTGAAACTCTGCTGCTCCTCCTGCCAACACTGAACGCTGCTGAAACTGGCTGGAATCAAAATTTTAACATCGTTTGAAGCAGTAGAAAGTAGCTGGGTTTCTTTCTCTTCTGCATGTTTTGTGAGATTTTATAATTAGTTTTTTTATTTAGTATAGTTAAAATGTGTTTTTTATTTAAGACACAAGTATTATTAGTTAGGAATTATTTTGCAGGTATTTGTTTCTTGTTGGGAGGTTTTTTATGAGTTTGGAGGTTTATTAAGAGGGAGTTTTGGTGGTTGCATTTGAATGCTTTGATAGTAAAGGTAAATTTTAACTTTTTTTTTTGCATGGGATATTTTTTCTTGTTATGTAACTTTCCACAAAACCACTGAAGGTGTCTTTATCTCTATATTTACTGGTTTTAATTGTGTTTATTATTTTGAGGGGTTTTTTTCCTAGTTAGTTTTTAAGTTTTATTTAGTCATTTCAGAGGAGCTGAATTTTTTTTATTCCCTGTTATTTTTCAACATGACCCACTTGAAAGGAAGCCAGGGTGAGTCTGAAGTGATTCCTGTACTGGCCCAGCCCAGAACTCTTTCAAGCTAAGATTGAGCAGGGAAATAAAAGCAAAAAACTGTGAAGGGATTGAAAAAAAATGCTTCTCCTGTAAATAAGGCAAAAGCACATGGGAAAATGTCCTTGCTGCAATTCCCAGGCCTGGGGGAGCCCCTCACCTGTCTCGTTTTTGCAGAGGTCTCTATGAAGGGGATTCCGTAGCTTTTTGCCAGTTCTTGGGCCTGTTTTGTGTCCACTGTTCTCGTGGGCAGATCACACTTGTTCCCCACCAGCACCATGGGCACATCATCTGAGTCCTTCACTCTCTTGATCTGTTCTCTTTAGGAAGACAAATTATAAAAAAAATAAATTGGGAAGTATTTTCTAATAGTAAAACTGGTTTAGTTCAGTATTCAAACAACCTTGTGCCACAAAAACACATTAAAGGTGAGCAGGGCCTCAGGGGTCAGCAGATGGCCAAGCACTTTGTACACTTCATTTTCTGTCCATGGATAACTCCACTCTGGATTTCTCACCCCTTTCCTTAGAGATGACACTCTGTAGCTGCAAATGGCATCTGATTCACAGAACCCCAGAACAGCTGGGCTTGGAAGGGCCCTCTGGAGATCACCCAGCCCAGCCCCTCTGCCAAGGCAAGATCACCTGGAACAGGTGCCACGTCCTGGAGGGTTTGGAACATGCCCAGGGAGACTCCACAAGTCCCTGGCAGCTGCTCCAGGGCTCTGCCACCCTCACAGAAAGAAGTTTTTCCTCATGTTGAGGTGGAACTTCTTGTGGTCTAGTTTATGGCCACTGCTCCTTGTCCTGTCTCTGGGCACCATGGAAAAGTCTGACAGTTTTCTTGGCACTCCTTGGAGATATTTGTATGGATTGATTAAAAATAAATAAATAAAACTGGGTGGAAACCATCCCAGTCTTAACTGACTAAAGGTGGTGCTGAGGCCCTGGCACAGGTGCCCAGAGCAGCTGGGGCTGTCCCTGGATCCCTGGCAGTGCCCAAGGCCAGGCTGGACAGGGCTGGGAGCAGCCTGGGATGGAGGAAGGCGTCCCTGCCATGGCAGGGGGAGGCATGGATGGGCTTTAAAGTCTCTTCCAACCCACCCCTGCTGTGATTCCATGCACTGGCAGAGAACAGTGACAAAACTTCCTGACAGAAGTGGGAGATTCAATCTTTGTCTGTTCCTGATCCTTCACTGAGGCACCTCAGTGCTTCATTCAGGCAGAGTTCCATTCCCTGCCCCGTCCCCTGCCCCTGGGGCAGCCCAGCTGTACCTGTAGAGGTTGATGTCGGCGAAGGATTTGCTGTTGTTGATGGCGAAGACGCAGAGGAAGCCCTCTCCTGTCCTCATGTACTGGTCCCTCATGGCGCTGTACTCCTCCTGCCCCGCCGTGTCCAGGATGTCCAGCAGGCACGTCTCGCCATCGATCACCACCTGCTTGCGGTACGAGTCCTGCAACACAGGGCACTGCCGTGAGCCCTGCCCGGCTCCTGCCGCCCGGGCACGGTGAAATGTAAAAATAATCATAAAAACGCTTTGCCAGCTGTTCTGCAGCAGCTGGGGCTGCCCCTGGAAGTGTTCAAAGCCAGGCTGGACAGGGCTGGAGCAGCCTGCGACAGGGGAAGGTGTCCCTGCATGGAACCAGATGAGCTTTAAGGACCTTTCTAACCCAAACCAGTCTGAACTTTGTGATTCCCATCCGTCTCTGATGAAAAACTACCACTATCTAAAACTACAGTATTTTAAATATTACCCAAATCATCACATTTTAAACCATGCCCAAACTATCCCCTTTCAAACGAGGCTCTAAGCCCTGCCATCCTTTGTTACAAAACACAGACTCATGTTGCTTTAAAGACATTCCTCCAGAGGAGAAGAAAATGAAAGACAATCACAAACACGCTGGCTGCGAGCAGAGCCTCCGCCCTGCCCAGCCCGTGCCGGCCTTTCTGCTCTGCTTTAGCAAGCCCGGGGCAGAACGGGGCAGGAGCCGCTCCCAGAGCCCCGGGCGGGCTGCGGGGCCCTGGACGCGCTCCCGGCCCGGCGGAGCCTCCCCCGAGCCCGCACCGGCCCCGCGGCCCCGCGCACCTCGATGGTGGGGTCGTACTCGTCCACGAAGTGGTTCTGGATGAGCTGGATGGTCAGCGCGCTCTTGCCCACGCCGCCGGCGCCCACCACCACCAGCTTGTACTCGGTCATGGCCCCGCGGCCTCGCCGGGCCCGGCCCGGCCCCGCCGCCGCCGCCGCCGCCCCGCGAGTTCCAGGGAGAGACACGGGAGAGACACGGGAGGGACACGGGAGAGACACGGGAGGGACACGGGAGGGACACGGCGGGACACGGGAGGGACACGGGACAGACATGGGAGGGACACCGCGGGACACGGGAAGGACACGGGAGAGACACGGGAGGGACATGGGTGGGACACGGGAGAGACACGGCGGGGACACGGGAGGGACACAGAAGGGACACGGCGGGAGAGACACGGGACAGACATGGGAGGGACATGGGAGGGACACGGGAGGGACACGGGAGAGACACGATGGGACACGGGACAGACATGGGAGGGACACGGGAGGGACACGGCGGGGACACACGTGGGACACGGGAGGGACACGGGAGAGACACGATGGGACACGGGACAGACATGGGAGGGACACGGGAGGGACACGGCGGGGACACACGTGGGACACGGGCGGCACCGGCACCGCGGCTCCGAAGCGGCAGCGGCACCGAGCCCGGAGCGCGGAGCCCCGAACGGGGAAGGGCACCGGGCCCAGTCCCGGGGTTTAGAGCGGGAACACCACCCAACCACACCCCGTGGGGTTTAAACGGGGAATGACACGGAGCTCTCGGGTTTGAAAAGGGTTTACATCAAGCGTTGTGCTTTTGGAAAGCTGTGAGTGAAGAGCTGGAGCTGGGCGGTTCGGGGAGGGGCTGCAGTGCATCCCGCACCCGGATCCTTTTTTGTTTTAAGTGACCACAAGGCCAAGAGGAAGGGGAGGCTCGGATGCCCCGGGAGGGAGCAGGAACAGGGAATTGCAGCAGCGGGATCAGGGCCCCGCTGCCCCCGCTGCCAACAGAACCCGCCAAGAACAGAACTGAGCAGGGCAGGGCTCGTAAATGGGGGTTGGACACTAATTAGAAGTGATGTAATTTGTAACCAATGAATGTTGCTGTTGTTATAATGTATAAATAGTGTGGGGCTGGTGATGGGGCCGGTCTGGGGGAACTCCCTGCTTTGTGCAAACTGGAATAAAACACAGAAATCCCTCAGGGTGGTGAGAATTGGAGGCACCAGGACGGAGCCTGTGACAACACAGCTCTAGCACAGCCCCCAGTGAGGAAAGAAGAGGCTGAGCACAACGAGGCTTTTTTCAAAATCAGTAAAACTTTATTCTATTTCCATTCTTTGCCATTAACAGAAAAAAAAAATTGGAGAAAGCAATGTTTTGTTTTACAAAGATAATGCATCTCCCAGAGAAGAAAACCCTAAATTGAGAATAGAGGTAACATGAAAAAAAAAAAAGAAAAAAAAAAGAAAAAAAAACAAACAAAAAAAATTAACCAAAATAATAATAAAATAAAAAAAAAAACCAAAACAAACCCAAACCAAACCACAGTACTGCCCTCTATTCCAAAAAGTAACTCCTGATCTTTTTGGTTAAAGTAATACTTAGACCAATCATTCAGTTTTCTTGCTTGATAAAGTGTGACTGGGGAAATGGAGGGAGGGGGGCAGGGAAGGGAAAAAATAAAAAACCAAAACAAAAAACCAAAAAATAAACCAAAAAAAAAAAAAAAAAGCACACAGACATCAACTAGTCACCTTGATGAAAGTCTCAATACAGCTATGGAAAGCCTAAGTATTTATTCTCTTACAGTACACTGGGTGCCGGCTGCAAAAAGAACAAAAAAAATGTATCCACTTCAGGCACAACTTCTTTCTTTTTAAATTTAAATCAGTAAAAGAAACTGGGTTTAGAAGCTGCAGTGTTCTAAGCAGCAGCAGATTTGTGCATTGTTTTAAATATATTTAAATTACCACACTGATGGCACACCTCAGCCTTATGAAATTCTGCACTGTCTGTTCCAGAACACTACAAAATCCACCGACCCTGGGAGAGACTTGCACTGAGATCTAAGGACTGGCTAAAGGAGTCAAGTTAAATGAACTAGGAAAACACTGTAACATTTGGCCATCAACTCAAGGTATCTGAATGTTTGTGGAGATCTGATAAAAACAGAACTTATTCCACCCTCACATGTTTCTCAGAATTTGAGCAGTGAGCTGAAGTGAGTCTTCCCTTCCACTTGGGAAGGAAGATAATGCAACTGAGCACTAAGGCATAATAAACCTTGGCCAAAAACAAGGATAAAGCATAATAACTGTAGTGCAGAATTCCACAAGGTCTGCCCGAGCAGAGCTGTCTATGTTTACTCACAGAGGCAATGGAGATTGCAGTTACCAGTTGCGTTAAATGCACCATTCAAAACAAGCTTCTAAAATGTGATACTATAAGGCGCCACCTTAAAGTTCTCCAGAATGCAACTGTGCAGAAATTTAAAATGGTTTCATAAATTTAATTTTAAACATAACATGAGAAGGTGTTAAAACTGGTGGAATAGCTTCTGAGAATTTGGAGGAAGGGGTGAACAGGGAGATATTCAGTACCCTTCGGCAGCCCCACCGCGCGGCCCAACGCCGCCGTGGGGGTGGGATCAGTCTATAACACCAGCCTGGCGGATCTTTCTCTCTGCACCAAATCCCTGCAAGGAAAACACAACACACGTTTAGCTCCAGCATCACACAATCATGAAATCATCTAGGCTGGAAAAGGACTTTAAAATTATCAAGTTCAGCCGTGAACCTGGCACTGCCACTGGGCTTTGAGGCAGAGCCTGGTCTGTTCCACCCAAGCAGCTCCCTTCTAATTAGTCATGTTTGTCTTCAGAAACAGAGACAGCAATAGAACAGGTTCTCTGGGGTGTTCTTTGTAGTCCAAAGCAAACAGAAATTCCAAACACTTTTCTCCTGCTTATCAAGGAGTGCCAGAACGTTGTGCGAAAGCCACGTCTAGGTAAACAGACTTCACTTGCTACCTCTGAGGTTTACAAATGAAGAGCAAACTATGACAGCCAAGACAAACCATGACAGAAAGGCTCCAACACAGGCAGAAGTGGGCTGTGTCTTTCCAGTGTGCTCTTTTGAAAGCACAGGGCACAGCGCTGGCCACAGGGCACAGCACATGGCAGTGGCACAGGGCACAGCGCTGGCCACAGGGCACAGCACATGGCAGTGGCACAGGGCACAGCGCTGGCCACAGGGCACAGCACATGGCAGTGGCACAGGGCACAGCGCTGGCCACAGGGCACAGCACATGGCAGTGGCACAGGGCACAGCGCTGGCCACAGGGCACAGCACATGGCAGTGGCACAGGGCACAGCGCTGGCACAGGGCACAGCCCCATGCACAAACACAATCCACCCTCACACAGCACAGCTCTCTACAGAACAGCAGCAGAGCCCAGGCCCCGAGAGGCGGGCAGGCCCTGCAGGCCCCGTGTGTACCTTTGAGTTGTCGGGGCCCCGGGGCTGGCACTGACACAGGGCACAGCACATGGCACGGCACTGACACAGGGCACAGCACTGACCACAGGGCACAGCACTGACCACAGGGCACAGCACTGACCACAGGGCACAGCACTGACCACAGGGCACAGCACTGACCACAGGGCACAGCACTGACCACAGGGCACAGCACTGACCACAGGGCACAGCACTGACCACAGGGCACAGCACTGACCACAGGGCACAGCACTGACCACAGGGCACAGCACTGACCACAGGGCACAGCACTGACCACAGGGCACAGCACTGACCACAGGGCACAGCACTGACCACAGGGCACAGCACTGACCACAGGGCACAGCACTGACCACAGGGCACAGCACATGGCACGGCACTGACACAGGGCACAGGGCACAGCCCCATGCACAAACACAATCCACCCTCACACAGCACAGCTCTCTACAGAGCAGCAGCAGAGCCCAGGCCCCGAGAGGCAGCAGCGTGCTCCCCTGGGCGGGCAGGCCCTGCAGGCCCCGTGTGTACCTTTGAGTTGTCGGGGCCCCGGGGCTGGCGGAGCACCGTGAGCCGCGGGGCGTTGGCATCGTCCAGGTTGATGCTCTTTAAACGGTTCACGAGTCTATCGGGACGCGGAGCAGCCACGGCCTTGGCGCCTTCGCTGCAAGAGAGCACACAGGGCAGGGTCACCCCCGGGCTGGGCAAGGCACCCCAGGCTGTCGCAGGCCTTGAGCACCATCATTTATTGCACAGGATCGATGCTGTGTGACAGCAGACCCGGCTGGTGGCCTGGCCCTGCCCCAAACCTCGCTGTCCACACTGGGCTCTGCACTAGCAGGAGTCAGTGATCTCCAGAGGGTGTTCTTTAGGGAGCAGAGCTCTTGTATTTACTCTCATGCACACATAACCAGTGTATCCTACATTTGTACTGCCCAGAGAAGCCGTGGCTGCCCCATCCCTGGAAATCTCCAAGGCCAGGCTGGATGGGGCTTGGAGCAACCTGGGATAGTGGCAGGTGTCCCTGCCCATGGCAGGGGTGGAATGAGATGGAATTTTAGGTTCCCTTCCATGCAACCCATTCTGTGATCCTGTGATTAAACTGCAATAATAAAGGCTTGCAAGTTGCCATCATATCATGCCAGAGCATTAACATCTCTGAAAGTGATTGGAACACAATTTTGAGACAAAAACATTAGCTTTCTGTTACTACTGAAGTGCTATCTCATGCTTAAACAAAATACAAATTATGCAGTCTTCTTCAAGTGTGTATATAGTTAAAAAAATGCCATGCCAAAAAGAAGAGTCTCTAAAAGATGAGTTTTCTACTTAAAAATTTAAGCTGCTCTTCAAGAAAGAGGTGGCAGCACTGTGGAGTGTGCTGGCCAGAGGCCAGCACCCCCACAAGAAAACCATGAGTTTCCTTATCATTAACTTCCACTTGCAAGCCTGTATCCAAATTCCTCCTACAGGGGGAGTTTAAGAATAGGTTTAAAAAGAGAACAAGCCATCTGTAATTAGGAAGAGCTGGGAGTGCTGCTGCTGCCTGCTCTGGATCCCCTGGAAGAGCTGGGAGCTCTCAGGTGTCCCTGGAGGCAGCTGGAAGCCAGAGCTCCTGCTGCAGGAACGCCCAGCTCAGGCAGAGGCAGCCTGCAGGGCTCTGCTGGGAT